TTGTTTGCAGATAGCACGGTCCTCTAGGGTAAACAACAGGCACAGTCCTTTTATTTTCATATAATCCAGGCACTTTATTTGTAAGTCCACACAGGAGACAGCCGCAAATGAAAACATAACTATAACACAAATCCCTATAAACAAAATCCTAGCTCGTCTGAGCACTTACTAACTTCATATCCCCTATCTCTCAGGGGTTAAACTAGAACAAAATAATATTGGTTTCACCTACCTAGTGTCTTTGTCAGCCCTCTGCACTCCAGTGCTTAGTCAGCCTGTTGCTTTCCTTTCTACACTCCCAGTGCTCCAAGCCAGCCTTAACTGCTTTCCTTTCTGCACTCCCAGTGCTCCAAGCCAGCCTTAACTGCTTTCCTTTCTGCACTCCCAGTGCTCCAAGCCAGCCTTGACTGCTTCCTTCTGCGCTCCCAGTGCCAAGTCTCATTGACTCTCTCACTGGAGAGAACAGCCTCTCTCCTACCTGCTTCCAGGGTGGAAGCCAGCAATCCCCCTTTACCTTCCTAGCAGGGAGGGGTTTATTCCCACTGCTACAGCTGATTATCTGCAGCTGAGCAGTGGGTTGGAGACAGTTCCAAAAAACTCTGGCCTGGACCTTATTTCTCCCAGTTGTGTATAAACTGAGGAGTGGAGCATTGGCCCACCCTGCTCTCCCCAGGGGCCCATAACTAAACGTAGCTTTGTGTTGCACACCACACATACAACACGTACTTCCCCTGGGGTTAAATGTTAAAGGCCTCTCTGCCTTCACTTTATCACAGTGCTCATTCATTTCTGCTACCTGTGCTCATTTATTTATGCTTCCTGTTCTCCTTGTAAGTACTCGTTCATTTATGCTTCCTGTTCTCCCTGTAAGTGCTCGTTCATTTCTGCTTCCTGTGCTCCCTGTAAGTACTTGTTTATTTATGCTTCCTGTGCTACCTGTTAGTACTCGTTTATTTATGCTTCCTGTTCTCCCTGTAAGTACTTGTTTATTTATGCTTCCTGTTCTCCCTGTAAGTACTTGTTTATTTATGCTTCCTGTTCTCCCTGTAAGTGCTCATTAATTTCTGCTTCCGGTGGTCCCTGTAAGTACTCGTTAATTTATTCTTCCTGTGCTCCCTGTAAGTACTTGTTCATTTATGCTTCCTGTTCTCCCTGTAAGTACTCGTTAATTTATTCTTCCTGTGCTCCCTGTAAGTACTTGTTCATTAATGCTTCCTGTTCTCCCTGTAAGTACTCGTTAATTTATTCTTCCCGTGCTCCCTGTAAGTACTTGTTCATTTATGCTTCCTGTTCTTCTTGTAAGTACTCATTTATTTCTGCTTTCTGCACTTCATTTAAGGATTTTTCCTGGTTTGCAATATATAAACATTCTTCTTTCTCAGTTCTCAGAGCTTTCATTCACATTCCATACACTGCTCTTTATTCATTCTCACCTTCTGCAGGGATTCTCATGTCCTTTTTATAATGTGTTCCATGTATTGCTCCTTCTGCGCTCTTTTTCTGAGCTCACATTTGTACCCTCTCTTCCTCACTCTGTAACCTGATGTAATTACATGATTTTATTTCATGACGGAAAGTCATCATTTAATGAAAGACACTTAGGCGCGTATTGCTTAACCCTTTCTTTAATGAACCACAGTGTGAAGGAATGCCCCATCACTTGGTTCGGTAGCAATTGTTTTCCCCTGTTCGTTTGTTCATACGAAAGTCCCCTGGTTCGGTTTCCGAACGAAGACCACCCCAACATCTAATTAGAACGTGTAATACAAAGTATCCAGCGCGAAACCACAACGGAAACTATCACTAAAAGGCTCCCCTTGGTGGCCGCCATTTCGTGTACCGAGTGGATGGCGGCCATCTTGTCTCCCAAATGCAGGCAGGGGTACCTGGTCTTCGAGTGCCTGGAACTTATTTCGGCTAGGCACTCCCGCAAACATTGTTGAATATGGAACTGCTGCCAGTTCAAGTTCCTGACCACCTATACGAATGGTGTTCAGGAGAAATAAACTACCAAATGGGGGGAGCATTCAACACCTAAAAGCATTTGCATATTGTGTATGGTTTTCGTACAAAAACCCTCGAACTGAGACCGACCATTGCTACAATTTCCCTGGAACTGTTTTGGGATTCTACCTCGTGAATGGCCGGTCAGAATTGTTCCTTGATGGAAAATCCAACCCGATCGGAGTGCTTTTTGAATATGATAGGCACTCAGATCAGGGCTATCTAGCAGTGTGACTCTCAAGGGGTTTCCTTGGATTTTGGGGGTACTTTTGAGGAGTTTAAGATTTGTCATATTTTTCTGTGCCTGGGAGATAATTGAGTTGTAAGTTTCCTGACTCAATTATCTCTCAGGCACAGGGGAGGAGTTTACTGTGTGTATAAATTGTGAGTGCTTGCCTGCATTAAACAGATCTATTCCCAGCATTCAGTCTCGATTTAATGTGTGGGGGTAAAGGCGATACCAGTGATATTTACTTTGATGCGTGTTGGAGCTACGTTGTTTTGGAAAAGGGAATCTGTGGCAGCGATATACTGGTGGTCAGCCACACACAAGATCAGCAAAGAAACAATACACACATAGAAAAACAGTTATACAGGAAAACATACCGTCATGCAATCCTGACACTTTTACCCTGTATAAGACCAAGCACCACCCTCAGTACTTCCTCTTTCTTTGACTGAACAGATTAACAAAATCCACATCCAGAAACTACTATCACTTCAAACTCTCAAAAAAATCCAGTCGAACAAGAACATGGGAGTCCAGAAACACTGTCTCCATCAACGGCAAACAACTGCCTTATCAAGATGACAGTGAACATACCATCTGCACTAACTCGCAAAAATAAAGACCATAATAAAAAATACAAAAATAAAAACCAATGAACATAAACTCGAGACCAAACTTAGTTTCTGCAAAATCGTACTGCAAAGACAAAAAAACACACAGGAGTCCAGTGCTTAGATCCTATGCAAAGAAAATATAACATGACCAAATAAATGCCATTATAAAGACAATAATAGCACATTTAAACCATCATGCAGATCAAAACATATGGCAAACAAACAATACAACAAAGTATGCAAATGTAACCATCTCACATCACTTGTGTAACCACCACAGCCAAAATGAGACCTGTGAATAAATCCAGAGAGAAAACCAAAGAGTGGCAAGGACTCCCCTCCACGGAGGCAAGTATTCTTCCTCCCAGCGATGCATTCGCTCTGCGCATTTTTCTTGACGCCTTTTGTTTTCTTTGTTGCAAGTTTAAAGCTGAGTGATAACTGAAGAAAAATCATGTCAAATCTGTTTCAAATAAATGTCATGAAATGTAGTCTTACGAGACGTATCAAATAAACGTTGACCAAGCAAAAAAACAGCTGCTCCTCTAGATAAATGTGCCTCAAACATAGTGGTATCCACGCATGTCTGGGACATAATCCATTAAACACAGCAACCAGAGTCATACTAGACACCCGTAAAACCAGGGACCGGAAGGAAAGGACAAAAAGGCTGCTTATAGGCAATCGTACGTTGTTCGTATTCCTGTAAACACTGAAAGGAGAAGGCAGGATAAGTAACCTATCTGATGGAAGTTTTGTTCCATTGAGATAGGTCAAACACAAGAGTGAGCTCCACAGTCCCAATGCCTGAAATAATAATAATCCGAAACCAATAAATCAAAATAGGGTGAAAGTTGCTTCAATGAAAGTTCCTAACTAGAAGAATATGAGTCAAAAAGAGAACACACAAAACACCACACATAGCCTAATAACACTGCTGCGGAATATGTTGGTGCTTTATAAATGCCAGTAGTAAATAAATTAAAAATGGAGGACGAGAAAGCTGAGTGCTTTAAGCAGATGGCAAACCAACGGATGTAGACCCGCCCGGTATCCATCAAAACAGTGATGAGCTGAAGAAATTACAGACTTGTACAAATTCATCATCTGGTATGCCCATCCATTCTCATACAGAGAAGTGAAAACTTGCAGAATAATGGTCAGGGGGACTGAAACGGGATCCAAGCTCCTAGCCAGGCACCAGCCAGACCAAGTTCGTCAAGATGCCCTGGACAATACCGAAGTACTAGAGGTCCATACCTTTGCTATGAGTCACCTACTCGCATCTGAAACTCCCTGGACCTATCAAGATCCCCAGACAGAAATCAGTCAAGCCAGAAGTTCCAGAACCCAGTACAAGAGAATCGGATAAGGATGGCATAACAGACAAGGTAATGTCAAGAGAAACCTGGGGTAGTCCACAGACCGTTCCAGAAGCCTGGGAAATGAAAACCACAATCATCAAAATGAGGTGATCACCACCAGGGTTACTAGGTTGCATCATACCTGCAGGAGAGTGCTCAGAATGATCAAGTATGGTGGATATGTGTAATGGTTGTCAGGACGAACCAGTGGCCCAACACGCAGAATTAAGTAAAATGCGTAACTAAGACAAACAGTAACACCGTATTACCGGGCCTTAGAATGGCCGGAATTAATGTAATAGAAAAAATAGTCACGAGCCTTGGTCAGGAATACAGAAAGGGACAAAAATACGGTAAGAACAAAGCCAAACTGTCAGGGATACCAGAAATACGGGAAGTCAAGCCAAGCCAAGATCAAAAACCGATCAACAGAATCAGGAACGCGCTCTCTGATAACCAACAGGATGGAATCCACGACAGGGCACTGAAAAACTGCAGATTTGGGTTTAAATAACCCAGTAAACCCTGCTATTGGCTGATTTGGGTGCCATGACCCGAGAACGTGCGTGCAGGGGAAAAACGTGACGCTTCACGCCACTGTAATTGTGGGGGGCATTATTACATAGCGCCACCTTGCAGCGGCTGGCGTCCTTCATAACGTTGGACTTGGACGCTGTATTAAGGACTGCACGGAGGGAGAGGCTCTGTAGGTAAGGTAAGCAACCTCTCCCTCCTTTAGTGTGACCGCACCGATCAGATGCAGTCACATCTTGGTGCCGATCGGGCACTGCAATAGCACCCCCAGACAAAGACCACCCACCGGTTGGGCAGGACCAGGCTTATCGGGGTACTGGGCATGGAAAGAGCGAAGGAGGAGTCCAGCATGAATGCCAACAGCAGGAATCCATAAGCGTTTCTTAGAAACGTAACCCTTCTGTTGCGGTTGCCCCAGGCTAGCTGAGGGTTGGACCGCCTGGATGTCCTTGTCTCCGAGCTGGGAGAGCGGCAAAAAGTCCCACTTCAGCAACTACCGATATCCCTTGAGGTGTAGAAGATTCTTGAAGCTCTGAACAGAGCTTGTGATTAGCATTTCCGTACAACACGAGTCAAGGCTTGTTGAGGGTAAGAAGACTGATTTTAATGGGTACATAGTTTTTCCAGGCCAGGGAACACCCACTGGACCTGGTGGGGCACTGAAACACAAGTAACATGAACCAATCATAACAAAGTGCATTTTTCTAAACCCTCCCCTCCATCCTGGAGATAATTGGCTTAAGTGGCCGTAGTAACTTAATTATCTCCAGGTACAGAAAATATCTTTTAAGCTCAGACTGTAACCAACATATCCCCGGATAGCTTGGATCTGAGCGCTCAATATATCTGAAAAGCGCTCAGATCTCACGAATACAGTTGGATCACCATGGGGTTAACGTTTTCTCAACGACCGTTCGGCATAATTCAGCCCAGGATTAGTTCCATACTTTTTAGTCCTCCGGGTCGGTCTAGTTTGTGAGTATGAAAGTACCGAACGACGCTGCATTCGTATGTTTATAAACAAACGGGTGAAGGTCTGGAGGTCCCAGCGGTGTTCGTGTAAAACAGTGACCGAAACTAGTTCCACGCAGTCGACGACGAACACTGCTGGGGCGTTCGGCAAGTCAAGTTGGCCGCCACCGCCAAGTGTTTGTTCTTACGAACGACAACCACCCAGCCGTTCGTCATTTAAGCTGTGGTTAACCGCAAAACGGTTCTGGGACTTCGTACTCTTCCTGTCCCGCAACCACCAAGGGAGGGGGAGGTGCGGAATGAGAAGTATATCGCAGATAAGTGGCTTTAATAAAGAAACATGAAAAGTACGGGGTATTCGAAGGTTGGCAGGGAGGTCAAGAACATAAGACACCGGATTAATCCTACGTGAAACACGGAAAGGACCAATGTATCTTGGAGCGAACTTCATAGAGGGTACCCTTAGTCTGATCTGTCTAGTGGACAGCTAAACCTTGTCCCCTACTTGATAAGAAGGTTCAGCACTACATCTTTTATCAGCATGCTGCTTAAAACGGGAAGCAGCACCAACTAAGGCAATATGAACCAGATCCCATGTTTTCCTCCTAGAGGTCAGATGCTCATCCAGTGTGGGAATATATGTATCAGAGAACACAGAAGATAATACAGTAGGGTAGAGACCATATACAACAAAAAAGGACCAAGTTTGGAAGAGTCATGCGTAGCATTGCTCCGGGCAAATTCCGCCCAGGGCAAGAGGTCAACCCAATTATCCTGGGAAGCGTTAACGAAACAACATAGAAATATTTCCAGAGACTGATTTTCCCTTTCAGCAGCCCCATTAGTTTGGGGATGATAAGATGAAGAAAAAGACAGGTTGATACCCAATTCTTTGCAAAAAGATTTCCAGAATGGAGAAATGAACTGTGAACCTCTGTCAGAAACAATGTTTTGAGGAATCCCATGTAACCTCACTATTTCCTTAATGAAAATCTGAGCAAGGTCTTGTGAGGAAGGTAATTTTTTAAGCGGGACAAAATGGGCCATTTTATAGAATCGATCTATGACCATGAGTATAGTGTTATATCCCTTTGAGACAGGCAACTTCACAGTGAAGTCCATGGCTATATGAGACCACGGCATGAGAGGCACAGGCAGAGGTTGTAACAACCCACATTTCAATTTGTGCGGAACCTTCAAGATAGCACAAGTCTGGCAAGTATTGACATAAGTGATAACATCCTTAAGAGAGGGCCACTAGAACTTTCTGGTTACCACTGAAATGGTTTTGCGTGTATTATGAAACATAGCAAGAATCGTCCTTCTTTCAGTTTCAGTAACAAATAGGAGACCTTTAGGTTTATTACAAAATGCCTGAGGTTGAGCCGCGATTATGACACCAAGAAGAGGCATCGACAAAGAAAGGACACTGGAAGCCAAAATACATTCAGGAGGAATGATAGGAGTGTTCTCTTGCTCCAGTTCTTCCTCCGTCTCAAACTGTCCATATAATGCATCAACCTTTATGTTCCTAGTACCACACCTATAAGTGATGATATAACTGAAACGAGAAAGAAACCGAGACCATCTAGCCTGTCTGGGTGACATTCTTTTAGCCTCCCCGATATATTCCAGGTTTTTATGATCAGGTGGTCTTTGTGCCTATATGATAGCCAGTAGCTCTCTGTTACCTATGTCATAATTATTTCCGCTGGGGATAGCTTTTCACAAAAAAAAGCCACCTGGGTGCAGGGGTTTGTCATGACTTTCTCTCTGGGACAGTGTAGCACCAACCCCTGTTTCAGAGGCATCCACTTCTAATATGAAAGATCTGCCGGGATCAGGATGAGCAAGTATAGGGGCTGAAGCAAATGAAGCCTTGAGTTGTTCAAAGGACAAGAAATTATACCTCTTTCTGATCAAATAGGCATTTTTCTAGTTTACAATACAGACCATTCTTAGGTCGGTAGAACTAGTTTAACTTGTGCATGTCTATCTCAGGTGAGTATATCAGTATATCATCTAGATATACTAACACAAAGGAATAAGTAAAATCTCTCAAAACATAATTGATGAGATCGTGGAAAACAGCGGGGGCATTACATAGCCCAAAAGGCATGACTAGATATTCGTAATGCCCATTGCGGATATTAAACACTGTTTTCCATTCATGTCCTTCCTTGATTCTAACTAGATTGTAAACGCTCCTTAAATCCAGTTTAGTAAATATTTTATCCCCTTTTAACCTGTCATAGAGTTCTGAAATAAGTGGTATAGGGTAAGCGTTCATTATGGTGATTTTATTATTCAGTACAAGGACGCAGATCATCTTCTTTTTTAGATACAAAGAAAAACCCTGCTCCTGCTGGGGAAGAGGATCTGCGTATATGAACTTTAGTTAATGCATCCTGTCTATTTCTACATGATTTTACTTTCCGTGGAGACAGGGTATAAACTCTCCCTTTCGGGGGGTATAGTACCTGGCAATAGATTTATAGGACAATCATAAGATCTATGTGGTGGAAGTGTATCAGCATGTACTTTGTTAAACACATCTTTTACCTCCCCCACATTGGGATGGAACCGTACTGGACAATGGAGAGGCATTCCTTTGTTATAGGCTTTAAACATATGTTACAACATCCATCACCCCACTTTAGTATCTCCCCTTTCTTGATTAGCCATGGAAAACAAAGTATAATGTGACAAGAGGGTGAGGAGATCTGAAAAGTGATATGTTCCTTATGCAAGGCCCTACTTGCAATGAAACCGGTAATGAGCGGATTCCTAAGAGGTCTACCATATCTGGCCTCAACGGCCAAAGGTGTTGACCTCTCCCTTAAAGCTTTCTGCTGCTCCTGAGTCTAATAGGGCTTTGCAATTGTCCTCAAGGTTGTGTAACAAAATGGTAACAGACAGGAGAAGTCTCGAAAGAGGCATAGTGGGATACATATACAGAACACCTTAGGCCAGTCCCCTAATGGTACTTAGATGCAAGAGTTTTTCGAAGGAATCAGGCAATGTATCCTCCTATGTCCCTTCTTGCCACAAAACATACTCCTCCTGAATTGTGTCTCTGCTTCCAATAACCTTATAATTTCCAACTGCATAGGTTTAGCAGCAACAATAGGGGGGGTTTGTGAACAACAGGGTTGGAGAAGCGGGGAGCGAGAAAAGTGCCATTTCTTCTAGGTTTGTCTCTGATCCCTTCCCTTTATCTTAGCCTGTTATCTATGTGTATCATAAGTTATATACTCGTTAAGTTTTTTCTGGCAGGAACCTCATCTAGAATGGTATCGGACAGGCCTTCAGCGAAAGCGGTGACAAGGCCACTGTTTGTCCAATCCATGTAACGGATCGCCTGGCACCCCTACTGGGTACCTCCGTTGAAGGATGTTCCTAGCGCTTCTTGAGGACTTCAAGCACTGCAGCAGACACCACAACCACCGAATCTGAGAAGCATAGGAATCCTCTCTAGCATATGAATGTTGTATACAGCTGAATAGGAAAAACCATGCGAATAGGTTTACACTCCTAGCAGTCAAACTGGAACAGCATACAATAAATCCTCCCCCAATAATGAGACGACACTTCACTTTGAGGGTTAAGCAGGAACTCACTGTACTGGCACATACAGCCTCTTTTATTCCCAATCCACAAACTTAGTACTGCCCACAAGGTTTTACAGAACAACCAATCAATCTGTACAATACAGACAGACACTCCCACACAAAATCCTCCCCTCTGCCTGTAATACAATTACCTTACACAATGGGTTATCTAATTATCACAGACAGAGAAATACAGTTTCATAAAACACATCACAGGGACCCCAAAACATGCAATAACCCCATAAAAAGTATGTCCTTGGAACCGGGGGATCAGGGTGAACCACATATAACCACAGATCCGTTCAGTACTTTGGAAGATACAGTTTAATGCAGATTCTGCAAAACATATACAGGCTAAATGAAAAACAATCACTGTATAATGTGTCCCCTGCTGTATAGTCCAAAACCACTGCACGATGTCTCTGTGCACCAAATACTGGCGAGATGGCACTCACAGTGTCTGTGAGTTAAAATGGCCGCCATCCATTGTTCTCACCATGTGCTTCATCCATTGTTCTCACCATGTGCCTCTGATACAGGAAATGGTGGCCACCCAGTAACTCCACAGTATGTCCCTAGATCGTTCTTAAAGGGCCAGCAGCAGCACAACACAAATCCCTTATGCCCAAATCATGTCTTTAACCCCTTAAGGACCAAACTTCTGGAATAAAAGGGAATCATGACATGTCACACATGTCATGTGTCCTTAAGGGGTTAAAGGGCAATACATCCCAGGGGCCATAGTCACATGGCAGGAGGCTGATAATCAGTCTTCTCCATTGCCCAGTGGCGAGGTCGGTTTCTCCACAATCCACCTCTGAGGCAAGTGTACGAAACTCAATGGCATAATCCGCAGTAGAGTTATTGCCCTGTCTTATGCGCATGAGGGCTTTTTCCGCATCCTTTTCCTTACCTAATGGCTCAAAAGTTACCTTGAACTCAGCTAGGAATTACGCATAATCATATGCAATAGACTTGTTGCTCTCCTAAAAAAGGATTTGCCCAGGTTAATGCTTTCCCTATCAACTGATTCATCAGATAACCAATCTTGGTTCTATCAGAAGGAAAGGAGCCGGGGAGGTTTCAAAGTGGTACTCGATTTATTTAAGAACACCACGGCATTCCTGAGCGTTACCACCGAAATGAGGGGGTGGTGAGAGGGATATAGAATGGATCCTTGTATACTATGGATACAACAGCAACAGGAGTGGAAGGAGGAGGTCGTTGATCCTCTGGTTGGAGGTGAGCAGTAGGGCCCACAATGTCTGAAAAGCCTGGGCGAATTGATCCATACTGTGATCATTATCTTCCAGCCTTCTTTCGCAAGCCAACATGTGTTGACTTAACTCTGCAGGGTCCATGGCCTTGCCGTAATGTCAATACCAGTGGCCCAACACGCAGAATTAAGTAAAACGCGTAACAAAGAAAAACAGTAACAACGTATTATCAGGCCTTAGAATGGCCGGAATTAACGTAATAGAATAAACAGTCACAAGCCGAGGTCAGGAATACAGAAAGGAACAAATATGGTAAGAACAAAGCCAAAGGGTCAGTGTTACCAGAAATTCGGGAAGTCAAGCCAAGATTAAAAACCAATAAACAGAATCAGGAACGCGCTCTCGGATAACCAACTGGATGGAAACCACGACAGGGCACTGAACAACTGCAGGTTTGGGTTTAAATAACCCAGTAAACCCTGCTATTGGCTGATTTGGGTGCCATGACCCCAGAACGTGCGTGCACGGCGAAAACGTGACACTGCACGTTCACGTCACTAGTGACGTCATTGAAAGCGACGTTATTATATAGCACCGCCTTGCAGCAGCTGGCTTCCTTCCTAACACTGGATCCGGCTGCTGTATTAAAGAATGCATGGAGGGAGAGGCTCTGGAGATAAGATCGGGCACTGGTGCGGTCACACTGAGGTGCTGATCAGGCACCGTGACAATGGACTTCTGTTTCATTCCTGCAAGAATGCATTCACTGCCTCAGCCTCTGGACGCCACATGAACAACCAGGGCAATTGAGTGTTGAGTCTGCACCTAAAGAGGTCTATCTGGAAGAGACCCCAAAGAAACACCATGGAAGAAAAAAAACATGATCTCCAGTTGTTATCCGACAAATACCTTGAGTTTAAATCCACGTGAAGTTTACTGAGGCCAAGAAAATATTCCACCTTAACCAAGATGTTCAGTTCCAAGCTAAAATTACAGAAATCAATCGTCAGGTTCGCCAAAACTGACGAATGAGTGCCTCTGAGGTAGTTGAAATAGTGGACTGCCAAAGCTTTGCCCTCGCAAAGACAAATGTATGTGCCTGCCCAATACCTGGAAAAACTCTGCAGCACAAAAGAACAAGACCAGGTTCCTCTGGTCGAAAGACATTCGCAATGGGCACCCTAACAAAGACTGGTATCCCAATCTATAATAAACTCCAACTGAGTTGTGAATATGGCCCTGTCTATTACAGGCGTCCATATTGTGGATCCACCAACAAGCTTTGTCCTTTCGTTTCGTGATCAAGAACCACCAAGTGCTGTCACGTAGATCCACAATCTTCAGGCGTTGAAGGGTCCGATACTGCAAGGGACCTGGAAAAATAGCCTGTATCAAGGCTGGTAAGAGACCACCAGCCTTAGCAGCTTGGTAAAACACCAAAGAGCCAATGAGAGACCAAAGGAAGATACTTAAAGGCCACTGCTGATCGAAACTGCAGGAGGTGCTGAGAGGTGACGTTAACAGAAACTGTCAGGTAGGCATCCTTTAAATTGAGTAACGGTAGCGGGCTAATGCATTCAGGGAGCACAGGTGTACCACCAGTTTCATCTGGTCTCCCTTCTTTTGAACCAGGAAGAAGTTGCTGATAAAGCCCAAGCCTGATAGAGAAGCCCGTTTGAACATCGTTTTGTCCTGAAGAGCAGCAAGTTCTGTGTCTATGAGAACTCAATCCTGAAGAGAAAACGAGGTGAAAGGGATAGAGGAGACTGAGAACCCACACATCTGAGGTTTTGTCTTGCCAGGCGTGGGAATATGACCGTCTTCCCCGTACAGGTGGTGGGGAACAAGCCCGAGGGAAAGTTGGCCTTACCGACAGTACGCCTGGATCCAAAATCTCCCCTGGAGCCATGGGAGACCTCTCATTGGGAAGAAAGGCGACACAGGCTGGTTGTCCTGCTAGGCGTGATGAGGAAAAGAGCTTCAGCCCGAATAAGTGTAATCTGTAGAGCTGCGGCAGCTTGGTCTGCCAGAGCTAGTAGAGACACAGTTGTGAAAACCCACTGCATAAAGGACTGGGCCTTAGCTAGAGCCAGGAAGGCTCCCTAAAAGTTACCCAAGTCTTTAATGAAACTATCCCCTAAAAGGAGACCATTGGCCTCCTTGCCGGCTTAAGTGAGGGACAGATTTACCAATTTAGGCTCAATCTTAAATAAGAGGAAATTGCACTGTTCAATAGCAAGGTGTATTATTCCCAGCGATGCAAGCCGGTCTCTGAACGCACCCACACATAGCTTCTGGACCAACTGGTTGGCCATTGCCCTTGGTCTTATCGGCCAACTTGAATAATTTAGTAAGGCATCTAAATATATCCAGGTGTTTATCCTGGCATGGTAAGGGTTTGCCAATTCCAAACCCTTACAGGGATTCCAACCAACTTGGACAAGAACTAGGCCTAGGGTCCACAAACCTTATACTGGATCATGGCAAGGCAATTTGTATTTGCCTTGGGCAGCCTTGCTAAGAGAATGCCTAACCAAGTGTCCCGGAGACCCCGGTTGATGAAGTGATGAAGATCATCCGTCTGGGAGAGGGCTGATGACATAGACCCAATGACGGCCATGATAGCATCCGTAACAGATTTAGGATAACCCCTGCCCCGAGTTTCCAGTGGGCTCCCCAATATTCGGGAAAGACATCAAGGGAAGGGGAACCTCAACATCTCTAGAAAAAGGGGGAAAGACCGACACCATAGGCCTGGGTAACAGTATGGGCTCAACAATCAAACCTAAAATATACCAAACTGATGGAGCATGAACCCAAGAAAATCACTAACAGATCACATCTCCAAGCTAGGCCCTAGCTACAGGAGACAAAAGACCCAAAAGGGAAAGAACATGAAGGGAAAATGGCAGCTCACAGACTGGGAGCACGCAGGGCTGCGCTGGGAGCATACAGAGCCACTCAGTGAGCAGACAGGTTCTGGGATCCAGGAGAGCAGACACAAAGGAGCAATCTAATTAGAAAACTACACATTAAAACTGCAATGTATAACAATAATCCACAATTGGAGCACAGCACACTGGTTCCTAACTCAACTGAGGAGCAAATAAGGAGTAAGTACTATGGGTGGTGCTTGGTCTGGTACAGGGTACTGTGTCAGGATTGGTTCATGGTATCCCTGTATGATTTTAGTTCTGTGTGTGTATTATTTCTTTGCTGCTATTGTGGTTAATTAAATAAAGGTTTCAGAAATATGAGATTCCCTCTCTTGCAATACAATTTACCTTCTCTCTATCTTCTGTTATTTGGTATGTTAATCACTTTGTTTTACAGACTTTGACAGATATACTATTAACATCATGTAATACTGCATTGTAGATCCAGATTGGGCCAGCCTAAATCTTGGTGCGCTGATGTGCATCGAATGTTCAGGGATTCACCGTAACCTTGGGACTCACCTATCTCGTGTTCGCTCCCTTGATCTCGACGACTGGCCAGTGGAACTAACAATGGTCATGATGGCAATTGGGAACAGTCTGGCAAATGCTGTGTGGGAGCATTGTACAGACGGTTACACCAAACCCAACTCGGAAAACTCTAGGTGAGGACATTAGAGACCGCTGACTATAGAAAGAGGGACAGATTTTGAAACGCACTACTAACATTAAAAAGACCGGTAACAAACCGCAGACTATAGAAAAACCAGTAACAGACCACAGACTAAAGAAAGACCGGTAACAGACCGCAGACTATAGAAAGACTTGTAACAGACGGCAGACTATAGAAAGACCGGTACCTGACCGCAGACTATAGAAAGACCGGTACCTGACCGCAGACTATAGAAAGACCGGTACCTGACCGCAGACTATAGAAAGACCGGTAACTGACCGCAGACTATAGAAAGACCGGTAACTGACCGCAGACTATAGAAAGACCGGTAACTGACCGCAGACTATAGAAAGACCGGTAACTGACCGCAGACTATAGAAAGACCGGTAACAGACGGCAGACTATAGAAAGACCGGTAACAGACCGCAGACTATAGAAAGACCGGTAACAGACCGCAGACTATAGAAAGACCGGTAACAGACGGCAGACTATAGAAAGACCGGTAACAGACGGCAGACTATAGAAAGACCGGTAACAGACGGCAGACTATAGAAAGACCTGTACCTGACCGCAGACTATAGAAAGACCGCTAACTGACCGCAGACTATAGAAAGACCGGTAACAGACCGCAGACTATAGAAAGACCGGTAACAGACCGCAGACTATAGAAAGACCGGTAACAGACCGCAGACTATAGAAAGGCCGGTAACTGACCGCAGACTATAGAAAGACCGGTAACTGACCGCAGACTATAGACAGACCGCAGACTATATAAATACCGGTAACAGACCGTAGACTATAGACAGACCGCAGACAATAGAAAGACTGGCAATGGACCACTGACTATAGAAATACCGGCAATGGACTGACTATAGAAATACCGGCAATGGACTACTGACTATAGAAATACCGGCAATGGACCACTGGCTATAAAAAAAAAAATCAATAACAGACCGCAGACTATTGAAATACCAGTAACTTACCGCTGACTATAGAAAGTCCAGTAAAAAATTCTGACTGTAGAAAGACTGCTGACTATAGAAAGAACGGTAACTGACCCCTGACTGTAGAAAGACTGGTAACTGACCTCTGACTATAGAAAGACCGGTAACTGACCTCTCACTGTAGAAAGACTTGTAACTGACCTCTCACTGTAGAAAGACTTGTAACTGACCTCTCACTGTAGAAAGATCGGTAACAGATCTATAACCGTAGAAAGACCAGTAACAGACCGCTGACTATAGAAAGAACGGTAAATGCCCCCTGACTGTAGAAAGACTGGTAACTGACCCCTGACTGTAGAAAGACTGGTAACTGACCCCTGACTGTAGAAAGACTGGTAACTGACCCCTGGCTGTAGAAAGAGTGGTAACTGACCTCTGACTGTGAAAAGACTGGTAACTGACCTTTGACTGTGAAAAGACCGGTAACTGACCGCTGACTATAGAAAGACTGGTAACTGATCCCTGACTGTACAAAGACCGGTAACTGACCCCTGACTATAGAAAGACTTGTAACTGACCTCTCATTGTAGAAAGATCGGTAACTGATCTATAACCGTAGAAAGACCAGTAACAGACCGCAGACTATAGAAAGACCAGTATCAGACCACAGACTATAGAAAGACTGGTAACTGACCGCTGACCGTAGAAAGACTGGTAACTAACCGCTGACTATAGAAATACCGGCAATGGACCACTGACTATAGAAATACCGGAAATGTAGAAGTACCTAGTAATAATGCAGTATTTGAGGATAACACCAGGCTGCCTGAGATATATTGTGTGCCCATCACTGTCACCAAGTCCATTATCACGCTGGGAATATGTGGCAGAGATAAATAGTCAACAGACAACGTTTGTGTCATACTTGAGTCACCTAACACATGTATGTCCATCTGTTTCACATTTCACCATTTCAAGAAATGTCTTGCCCTGTCTACAATGTATTATCCCAGTCACTCCTAATATCATGCAATAATACCAATAACACACCCCTCAATAACTTTCAACATTCCCAAGACCCTTTCCCCCACTGTACTAAGTAATATTTACTCTGTTAGGGTACGTCCTCTCTTCAGATGTGCAGGGTTTGTGCAGTAACACGTACATAAAGAGTAACATTTCGATCCTCATTAAGCTAATCGCACGTCTGTTATATAAGCAAGTAACAGGAAATGATACTCTTACCATGGTGATCATAAAAACAAAGTCTGTGTGTCATAGCTAGTGCTAGTCATGGGCTTAATATTATTGTTTTATTATTTATAAATCACCAACAAATTCCGCAGCGCTGTACAATGGGTGGACTAACAGACACGTATTTGTAACCAGACGAGTTGGACGCACCGGAACAGAGGGATTGAGGGTCCTGCTCAGTGAGTTTACATGTTAGAGGGAGTGGGGTATAGTGACACAGTAACAGAGGGATTGAGGGCCTGCTCAGTGAGTTTACATGTTAGAGGGAGTGGGGTATAGTGACACAGTAACAGAGGATTGAGGGCCTGCTCAGTGAGTTTACATGTTAGAGGGAGTGGGGTATAGTGAATGGCAGTAACAGAGGGATTGAGGGCCTGCTCAGTGAGTTTACATGTTAGAGGGAGTGGGGTATAGTGACAGTAACAGAGGGATTGAGGGCCTGCTCAGTGAGTTTACATGTTAGAGGGAGTGGGGTAGTGACACAGTAACAGGGATTGAGGGATAGGAGGGAGTGGGGTATAGTGACACAGTAACAGAGGGATTGAGGGCCTGCTCAGTGAGTTTACATGTTAGAGGGAGTGGGGTATAGTGACACATTAACAGAGGGATTGAGGGCCTGCTCAGTGAGTTTACATGCTAGAGGGAGTGGGGTATAGTGACAGTAACAGAGGGATTGAGGGCCTGCTCAGTGAGTTTACATGTTAGAGGGAGTGGGGTATAGTGACACAGTAACAGAGGGATTGAGGGCCTGCTCAGTGAGTTTACATGTTAGAGGGAGTGGGGTATAGTGACACAGTAACAGAGGGATTGAGGGCCTGCTCAGTGAGTTTACATGTTAGAGGGAGTGGGGTATAGTGACACAGTAACAGAGGGATTGAGGGCCTGCTCAGTGAGTTTACATGTGAGAGGCAGTGGGGTATAGTGACACAGTAACAGAGGGATTGAGGGCCTGCTCAGTGAGCTTACATGTTAGAGGGAGGGGGGTATAGTGACAGTTACAGAGGGATTGAGGGTCTGCTCAGTGAGTTTACATGTTAGAGGGAGTGGGGTACAGTGACACAGTAACAGAGGGATTGAGGGCCTGCTCAGTGAGTTTACATGTTAGAGGGAGTGGGGTATAGTGACACAGTAACAGAGGGATTGAGGGCCTGCTCAGTGATTTTACATGTTAGAGGGAGTGGGGTATAGTGACACAGTAACAGAGGGATTGAGGGCTCTGCTCAGTGAGTTTACATGCTAGAGGGAGTGGGGTATAGTGACACAGTAACAGAGGGATTGAGGGCCCTGCTCAGTGAGTTTACATGTTAGAGGGGTGGGGTATAGTGACACAGTAACAGAGGGATTGAGAGCCCTGATCAATGAGCTTACATGCTATAGGGAGTGGGGTATAGTGACACAGTAACAGAGGGATTGAGGGCCCTGCTCAGTGAGTTTACATATTTAGAGGAGTAGGTGTGGCAGTAACAGAGGGATTGAGGCCCTGCTCAGTGAGTTTACATGTTAGAGGGAGTGGAGTATAGTGACACAGTAACAGAGGGATTGAGGCCCTGCTCAGTGAGTTTACATGTTAGAGGGAGTGGGGTATATTGACACAGTAACAGAGGGATTGAGGGCCTGCTCAGTGAGTTTACATGTTAGAGGGAGTGGGGTATAGTGACACAGTAACAGAGGGATTGAGGGCTGCTCAGTGAGTTTACACGTTAGAGGAGTGGGGTATAGTGACACAATAACAGAGGATTGAGGCCTGCTCAGTGAGTTTGCTACTGGGAGTGGGGTATAGTGACACAGTAACAGAGGGATTGAGGGCTGCTCAGTGAGTTTACATGCTAGAGGGAGTGGGGTAAAGTGACACAGTAACAGAGGGATTGAGGGCCCTGTTCAGTGAGTTTTCATGTTAGAGGGAGTGGGGTATCGTGACAGTAACTGAGGGATTGAGGGTCCTGCTCAGTGAGTTTACATGCTAGAGGGAGTGGGGTAAAGTGACACAGTAACAGAGGGATTGAGGGCCTGCTCAGTGAGTTTACATGCTACAGGGAGTGGGGTATAGTGATACAGTAACAGAGGGATTGAGGGCCTGCTCAGTGAGTTTTCATGTTAGAGGGAGTGGGGTATAGTGACACAGTAACAGAGGGATTGAGGGCCTGCTCAGTGAGTTTACATGCTAGAGGGAGTGGGGTATAGTGATACAAAAGGTAAGGGTAGGGTAGAAAAGTAGGTTGTTAGGATAGTATTCATTGAGGGCCTAGTGTTTTGTTTTGATGACAGTTCCAGGAAAGGAATCAGGGTGTGGGGAGGGATAGCGGTTCACAGCTTAACTGATATGCTTTCCTAAAGAAGTGAGTTTTTAAAGATTTTTTGAAGGAGTGGAGATTGGGTGAGAGCCTAACAGAGAGGGGAGCCCTAGAGAAGTGTTTAAGTTGAGCATCAGGGGTAGGAGTATGGAAAGAAGTTAGACGTAAGTCTCCGGCAGAGCGTAGGGGCCTAGATGGAGCATATTTGTGTATTAGTGAGGATACCCATGTAGGTGTTTTTATATAGAGATACATGCTCTAAACGTGCTCACCGGTAAATAGCATGTACACGTGACAGACCTATGAAGAGCATTTTAACCCTTAAGGACCAAACTTCAGGAATAAAAGGGAATCATGACATGTCACACGTCATGTGTCCTTAAGGGGTTTAACCGCTTTGTCACTCGACAAGCAGGTCTGGTGAAAAAGAATCAGAGAAGATTGTACCTGCCTACCCTGGGCATGAACCCTGAAGATTAGAAAACTACAAAACAGCAGAACGCTTGGTTCAAAATACTGGTAAATTTAGTATAAAGCATAAAATAAAGGATCAAATAGTAAAAGTAGCTAAGGAAGGGCTAAGACTAAAATCAGTAAATGTGTATCTAATCAGGCTTTATTAAACACACTGTAACTGAAAGACCAAATAAGACATAGCAGTTAAGGGAGAAGGAATCTAAGAAAACAGTGGTAATGGTGGAAACTGGTTCCAATATTGCAGGAAGTAATCATATAGCCATAGGTAACAAGGTACTAGTACAAAAAGAGAAGTCCTGCGCTCACTCCTGTTGTAGAATTATTAGGCCTCTATAAATCTGTAAGGCCCCTTTAAATCCTCTTGCTATACCTCTAGGAGGCCCCCCATAGTTTTACAAGGAAGCTTTGTCTATAGAACATAGAATTTGCATGTCAGCAAGAAATAGCTTTGATAAAATGTGTATTTACTAAAAGCCTTGAAACCTAACCTTGAGAAACTAACCGTGCCAGCTACACTCTAAATGGATGGCTGCCAAAGCACTCTCCCATCGAGTGAACACCTCGTGCTAACAAGATGGCGCCTACATCTTGTGTCCACTCCCGTGTCAAGGATGACATCACCTCTTGATAGGAGGGTACCTAACTACCCACTTAACACCTGGACCAATCAATAGTGTCTATTTGTCTATATCTTGATTTTCTTCAATGATGTAATAATGCCTTTATAAGGGTCTGCGCACCCATTTTCTGTCAGAAGCCATTAAACTTCTCTGAAGTTCTTTCATTACCCTGAACCTTGTGTCTCAGTGTGAATTTACTTCTGCGTGCACGCAACTTTATTATCTTTAATTTGGACAGGAACAGATAGTCATTCAAACTAATTGGTTTGCAGTAAATCATCTAGAACAATTGGCTCTCAACGTGGGGCTCTGGGCTATGTCCAGTCTGGGCAGCTGTCCAAGAAGACGCTGGGGGGGCTGAATCCTGGGGGAAGGAAAAGAGCCTGATCACCTCTGAATACACGGTAGAGATTGCTGCAGCACCTAGCTGGTATGTTCCTGCCCCTGTGATTGACCTGTCCCAGTGTCTGTGACTGCTACCGAGAGGACATCAAAGTCAGGTAATAACTTGCCCAGAGTCTTTGTATTGTTAATGATACCTGGTTTACCTGCATGTTGACTATCTGTTGCCTGGGTGTGTTTGTATTGGTATGTGTTTAACTTAGTACCCGGGGAGTGTAAGTGCCTGTTTAACTCCTTTTAGGTACCACATGCCTGTGGTAGTAAGGAAAAAGGGGGGTGGACCTGTGGAAGTTTTCCTGGGGGTCCTCTATTGCCTGTTTAACTCTTTTAGGGGCCACGTGGCTGTGGCTGTAAGGAAAAAGAGTAGGGGGAATCTGTGGAGGATGATGTAGACTCATTGCTTCCTGGGGGTTCCCCAGAGTGTCATTTTGACCGCTTAGCTAGCCTCATCGGACACTTCTTCTTGGTAAAATTCCAGCCTCGAGCGCTGGGGCAGGTAAGATTCCAATTCTTTAGGCTATACAGGATTCGGGTTGGAAGCTGTTGCTGTTTCCTGTGGCTGCTGGTAGTGAGACTTGCGGGTGGGTCTGCAACAGGGACACTACGAGGTTGAGGGAGGTGGCTTTTGGCCACACGAGTAAAGGCAAGGGATAAAACTGTTGAACTTATTTGAACTGTGATGCATTCACTGTATTTACACTGAAATGTTATTGTCTTAATTGTCTGTCACACAGATTCCTGTGTTTACTTCTATCTTACTCACTGTACTATTTACACTTTCCCCTCCTATTTCTCTTTCTCTTTGTTGAGAGAAGTGATTGGTCACACACTTCTCGCCACGCTCCAATCCGCGGCTACCACGGGTAGGCGGAATCAGTGACTAGTCTACGTTTTGGGAAGACGTACTTAAAGAGCTTGCTCTTAAAGTAGCAGTCGAGCACGGTAGACGTTCTGTTCCTTTCTCTCTCTATATCTGGGACGCCTTATATAGGGAGGATGGGACAGAAGTTAGATAAACCCAGTAAGGGTTGGTTAGCATGTGATCTAGTGGAAGACAGAGAAGGAGAAGAGATGGTTAAGAAAGTGAGGAAGATTGCTAAAGTATGTGGAATTACCGTACCTCTGTGCGGCAGATTGTAGCCAGAGAGCTGGCGTAAGTTACTGACAGAGAGAGAGAGAAGCTGTCGGACCAAGATTTGGTTTGTACAGCAGAAGCCTGATACCGAGTAGCAAGAGCTATTCAGCAAAAGGGATAGGTTGAGGAAGATATTGATCACAAAGGTTTAAGATTGTATGTATATCATAATAATTGTGTTACTGGGAAGTTATCCCAGCAGTGCCCTGTCCAGGAGGTGACCACTTCCATCATCCTGTCAGTAATGACCGAAATGTAGCTGACCATGGTCACCATCCCACCCCAATCTTAAAACGCTGTGGGGTTTTTGTATTTTGTGTTAGCCATTACCCTGGTAGAGGGTGGGGGTATAAATGAAATGTTGTGTTTTTGTGTCTCTTTGCTTTGTAATGTAATTGTCCTTCTGTCTTGTTACTGTACAGCGTTGACATGGTTAAATTCGTGCTGGCAGGCAGTCTCTCTCTTGTTCCACTCAAATCCCCCTCTGCTAAAACACCCCCCCCTCCCCTCGCTTCTGTGAGACGCGGGGGGTGGTGACATGCTTGCGATTTAGGTCTGTCTCTTCGGTGTTCTGTAGAGTTATTCAGAAGCTACTGATAAGAGTATAAGGTACTGAGGATTGTGGGAGTGACGAGCTCACAAGATTGCATTCAGTGTTGAATACGGGATTTAGGAAGGTGTAGAGGGAATATGCGATGTTGTTAAGTCAGTATAAGAGGAGGAAAGTGATTAATGGTTTGAGGAAGATAAGGGAATTTGGTTGAATTCCGCGAGTTTATTTTGCATCATTTTATTATTTTAAAGTTATTTTAAAGTACATGTTTCTAGAAACAGCTGTATGGGCTGTTAAATGCATAATGTTCTCAACTGTCTTATTTAACCTGCCAGGTCTGTTCATAGTTTAGTATTTCATTTTGCAGAACGGAATGTTGCTTCTCTGACTTATTTTAATAGTTATAATATAGTGTATTGTTGAAAGTGACGTCACTTCCGCCCTTACCATGCCCACACCTCCTGTCTTCCTTTCCCACACCTATCATGGACGTCATCTCACTTCCTCCCTTGCTGTCATTTCCTTCCCCGCCCCTGTCATGGCTGCCTCCATCATGAGGCCTACCCCTATTATGCTCGTCTCATTTAGAGACATGTTGTAATGTTTCCCTGTATCAACAATGTGTCCGTGATATAAAAAAAGAGAAGGTTGCTAAAATGTAATTTGCAACTGTGGTGTGACCTACAAATGAGATCTGTTGGACACGAATATAAGAGCATAACAGCTGATTATCCAGCTTCATCTTGCAACAAGGGAAATAGCTAAATAATGCAAGTTATTTTAAACATTGTATCTTTACTTAATCGAATCTTGCTAGTTACAGATCTTATGTTTACAGTAACATCCTTTACTTTAAATGATGGTTTAGCATTAGAAGGGTTTGTGACATGTTTATTAACCCAGCCACTACTGGTTATTCATTTTAGTTGCAGGGTGGTATAATTGTTATAGTCTAATTGATATAAATGATAGTACCGCAATAGTTAATGTTTTATCCAAAGACATATAGGAACTTTACTTAACTTACTATTAACCATTATTTATAATGATAGACATGTTCAGACTGCAAAAAGCTATGGCTAATGACATACAAAAGGGGTTTGAGTCAGTAACACAGCCCATACTGAGGAGAGCAAACCCGCTGATGCTTAATGCCCCTGCCATGGCAGTGTCTTCAGGGGAACAAGGGGGGCCTCTAGCTACTGTAATTTTACCCATTGAGGGCCAGCCCACCACTTTCCTAGTTGACACAGGTGCAGCCCGAAGTGTTCTGAGAGAACAAGACCTGCCCGATACCTCATTTCTTTCCAATATTGATGTCTCCTGTGTTGGGGTGGACGGCCTTCCAAGGCAAAGTCCCCTGTCCACCCCACTGCGGGTTGGTAACTGCCACAACTTGCTTGCTCGCTTTGTGGTATCTTCCACATGCCCCATTAACCTGTTAGGAGCTGATGTTCTTTCACGCCTGCAAGCATCCATCACCCTCACTGCAGACGGCCAGGTTCAATTAAATACGCCTTTGCCACGAAAAGACACTACAGTTCTTTGTTCCCTTCCCATTTTACTGTGGAGATGATCTACCCACAACAGAACAATGCTCAATTAATCTTCTTTGCTACCTAGCAGAACAAGGATGTAAAGCTTCACGTCCCAAGCTGCAATATTGCCAATCTACTGTTATCTTCCTTGGCCATTGTCTGTCTCAGGGAACCAGACATCTCACTCGTGACCGAGTTAGAGCAGTACTGGACATTCCACCTCCAAGGATCTCAAAGTCACTACACGCCTTCCTAGGCCTCATTTCCTATTGCCGAGCATGGATCCCAGGAGCCTCGCTCCTTATGCAACCTCTTTATGATGCTCTCAAGTCAGACCCATTTTGCTTGTCCACAGAAGCCCTTGACAACTTCTGTTCTCTCAAACGTGCTATTGCTTCTGCTCCTGCTCTTGGCCTACCAGACTATACCAAACCCTTCAAATTGTTTGTTTCTGAAAGACAAGGCCATGCAACAGGAGTACTCACTCAGGCTCATGGTCCTGGAGGCCGCCAAAGGCCTATTGGATTTTTCTCCTGCCAACTGGATATTGTGGCCAGAGGACGTCCCTCTTGCCTTCGGGCCGTCTTTGCTGCCAGAGAGCTCATTGAAAGAACTGGGGATCTTGTCCTTGGCCACCCCCTGGTTGTCTTGGCCCCTCATGACATTTCTGCCATAGTCAACCAGGTCCAACTTAAGCATGTTACTCCTGCTAGGCATCTTCGCCTTCAATGTCATCTTTTGTTGCCTGACAACATTACCCTCCAAAGATGTCAAGTTCTCAATCCGTCCACTCTTCTGCCACTCCCTGAGGGGGGTGTATACTACGGATTCATCATGGACGAAACTTATGTTTTTCTTCTCACTGGCACCATCAAGAAGGAAATGCATCCCAACCTATCCTTTCATGATGGACAAGCACTCCTTCATGACGGAGCAGGATATGCCTTCTGTACCATGTGGTACAAACCAAACATCACTCCTGAACCCTGCTATGAAGATGAACTCTATAATCTGGTCGAAGTAAAACTCACTGCACAAGACTTCTACTGTGATTCTGAAGGCAACAGTATGGTCTTGATTCATCTACCTCCGGAACTCAAGCATTTGTACCGTCATTGGGACACTGCCATTCCACATGTCCCTGTGACCAAGTTGAAAACAATATCATGGAATGATCTTGGGCCTATGGCAAAAGCATGGGCCACTATGGACGAATCACAGCTACAGGAAAATGGTGTTGTCAAATATCCAACAACTGACCCTAAAAGCATGGCCACGTCATTTCCTGGAAAATAAGTTCCAAGATTTAACCATAGTGAATGAATACGACCCAGATACACCTCATGACTGTTTTGAACAGATGAAAATGGAAACAACACATCTACCAACTGTACATGAAGACCCATTGGTAGATCCCGATCTCACCCTGTTTGTGGACGGCTCAAGATATGCTGATGAAGAAGGAAGATACCATACAGGATATGCCGTAACCACAACAGATGAAATTGTCAAATCATCATCTTTACCATCAACTATGTCTGCACAAGAAGCTGAATTGCAAGCCCTGACTTCAGCATGCAAGATCTCTGAAGGAAAGCGCGCCAATATCTACACGGATTCAAGATATGCACTGGGCGTGGCTCACGACTTCGGATTAATTTGGAAAACAAGAGGATTTCTTTCCACCACCGGTACACCAATCAAGCACGATTCCGCGATCAAGGAGCTGATGGACGCCCTCCTACTCCCAGAAGAAGTGGCTATTTTGAAGATAAAAGCACATGGGAAGTTGGACTCAGATGAAGCAAAGGGCAACCATCTAGCTGATCAGGCTGCAAAACAAGCTGCAAAAGAACCACAGGAAGTGGAAAGAAGAGTGTCCGGAAATGAAGAAACTCCCATATTTACTCTGCAGACTCTTCCAACTGACCTGAAAATCCTGCTGGAACAACAGGCTACAGTTGCCCCTGAAGAAATACAGAAGTGGAAACAGAAAGGGGCAGTTCTGAAGGATGGAGTGTACTCCAACAACCTCAATTTCTGCCTCCCTAAGAATTTGTACCCAGCAGTCGTACAATGGGCACACAGACCTGCACATTTATCAAAAGATCTAATGAATGCTCTTGTACAAAAATACTACCTCATTGTCCCCATACGAGATTCTATTTGGGACTGCACCTAGGCTAGGTTGCTATTTTCCCCAACAACTACAACTTCAAACTGATGTTTTAGTAGATTATGTAACTGAACTCGCAAATGCTTTGAACAAAATCCATGTCCAAGTTTTCTCTAAAATTCCAGATCCTGATTCTGACACAGGCAACCACAGTCTGCTCCCCGGTGACTGGGTTCTGGTCAAGAAATTTGTGCGAAAACACACCCTGGAACCAAGATTTGACGGACCGCTCCAAGTTCTCCTGATCTCCCCTACCTCTGTCAAATTGGCCGGAAGGCCTAACTGGATCCACGCTTCCCATTGCAAGAAGACACCTGCCCCAGAGGAAGCTAACTCTATGCAACCATGTGCCTCTGGTACATTATCTCCATAGTTGGCCTCCTTAAAGCCCAGCAGGTGGCCATCACCAAAGATGCTAGTGGGTACACCTTCTGGTATAATTCATCATGTACCCATGTGGCTACATTCACTTTTGATTACTGTGATATTGTAGAGTGCCCATTCCCTAAGTCACGGATTCAAGCCATTTATAAAGATATACCACAAGCAAAAGACCCTTACGTTTGTGTAGTAGATGAACAATGGGGTTGTGACTGTAACTACTGGGGGGCTGCGGGATGGAATACTGGGCCTGCCTGGGGTTACAAACCCAAAAGTGCTTTATCTAAGATAGACAATCAGGGTAGATCCCTCCTTCAAAGAATGACTTTAAGAAAGCCTGGAGGAAGTACCCCTATGAAATTAATGTTAAATATTGAACATCCTGGCCTCGAGGATGCAGACCGATATGTAATGGGAATGTATTGGAAGAAAGGTTCCTACAACAAATTAGGTCATTTCTACCTCAGAGATATGTACCACTCTCCAGAGTGGCAAGGGGCTGATCATATGGTCCCAAATCCGCTAAAACCACATATCCAGTCCTTTAAAGATATGATGGCCATCGCTAACCCCACTTTTGAAGATACCATGGCTGCTGAAACTGGATTCAATGACATTAATTTGTGGTTAGAATGGATGAGGTATAATGCTAACAAACATAATAAAACAGCATGTTATGTATGTGGCGGTGCCCGACCCCACCTTGGCACCGTCCCCCTAACTCTCCCTTTAGAGATAGAAGATTGCTTCTTAAGCCTTTTTGCCTACCAATATGACTTTACTAGGTCCCTCTGCATGGCATGGACGGCAGAATACCCTCTCTTAGTTGAAAATGTTAAGCCACCAGATGGAGTCACAGTCTATAGAGGTAATTACACTTGTTATGCCATGTATGACGGGATTGGTAAATTCATGGGTAACTTTTCTAAAGGTTATTGCGCCACTTACAGAACTGTTCCTATACGCCTGTTGCAACACCATACCAGGTCATTGGGGGATATTTACTGGTTATGTGGGGATCTACAGTTAAGATCTAGGCTGGAAACTGAGTGGTGGGGTGAGTGTACCCTGGACAAAGTTATCATGCCCATTCATATTATTTCTGATAATCATCATGACACATACGACCCTCCACATACATCAGCCAGAGTAAGGCGCGAAACCCCAGTAAAAGGCAGTTTTGACCCCCACATTTACATAGATGCCATTGGGGTGCCTAGGGGGTACCTAATGAATTTAAAGCTAGAGATGAAGTAGCTGTAGGTTTTGAATCACTTTTTACCATAGTCACTGCCAACAAAAACCTTAATTGGATTAATTATATCTATTACAACCAACAGCGCTTCGTGAACTACACCAGGGATGCCCTCCAGGGTTTGGCCGAGCAATTACAGGCCACATCCCAAATGACCTTCCAGAACAGACTGGCCTTAGACATGATCTTAGCCGAAAAAGGGGGAGTCTGTAAAATACTTCCCGACACTATGACTTGTTGCACTTACATTCCAGAAAACACAGGTCCTAATGGTAAAGTCACTCTGGCCATAGCTAAATTAAATAGACTCTCAGAAGAGTTAAAGAGAAACTCTGGAGTTACTGATCCCTGGGAAAAATGGTTTGGTTGGATGACTGGTTGGCAGAGAGCTTTAGTCCAGATTGGTATTGCCTTACTAATTTTTCTTTTTATTCTCGCCCTTCTCATTTGTTGTGTCCTCCCATGCCTAAGGAAATTCCTGCAGA